AGCAGCAGAGTTGGCCTTGGAGGTCGGGATATGGCTATGGAGGAACAAAGCCAGAGAGGCCGAATCGTTGGGCTGCTGGCCCGCCCCGTTTTGGGCGCGGCGAGCAGAAAGCGGAGGCGGACACTCAGGCTCGAACCACTGCAGCCCCTGGAGGCGACGCCAAGATCATCGAGACGGATCCTGCGACAGCGAGGACCATGCTGGCTAGCATGGCCAAGGCGCATGGCGATGACCGCTCGAGCTGGCCTGACGACTGCAAGCAGCTTGTTGAGGTCTGGGACAAGGCTGTGCAGCAGGCCGAACCAAAGGAGGACGAGGTGTACCAGGCGCCCGACTACGATAACATGTCATCGTTCCAGCTCGGGCAGCGCATGCAGGGTGTCACTCAGAAGTTGGACAAAGCCAAAGAACGACTACGAGAACGTGAGGCAGAGCTCGAAGTGGCATTGGAAGCCAGAGATGCCGAACAAGAGATCGTGCGCAACCACGAGAACAGGAGGCAGAGGATCAAAGATGCGCAGGCTGCAGCCTTCATGCGAGAAGCCGCTGATGGAGGACACGCCCAGGCCGCACATCCCGCTATTGCCCTCTGTGGACAGGTGGCCAGTCTTCAGAAGCGGTTGGGCAAGCCTGAGATGCCTGACGAGCTCGCTGGACCTCTCAAAGCACTACAGCAAGCGCTTGAGCTGCTCGAAAAGCAGCTGGCCGAGAGAGAGCAGCAGCAGCAGCAGCAGCAGCAGCAGCATCAAGATAATGTTCCCCATCAGCCTGTGCATGTTGATGATGATGTTGATATGGCTACAGACATCCCTGTACCTGACGAAGCTGAGTACGAAGAAGTCTTCGAGCATGCTGGACTCAAGTTGGATGGGGTCGACTCAGATGAGGAGAGTAAAAGAATCAAGGCAGCAAGAAACCGCATGCTCGAGGCAATGGTCGCAGTCAACATGGCCGCTGTGGCAAAGCGGCGCAAAACCCAGCCCCCAGCTGCAGAACATGCGCAAGACGGTCAGTTGTGAGGCTGCGAGCCATGGTCAAGTTGGCTGGGGGCGACAAGATAACTTACTTGTGCTCATACGGGGCAGTGTGAAACGGATCTCGGAGGGCTTGGAGCAAGGTCTTCTGGACGTACACGACGGTTGCGGTCGCAAAGGTGACGCAGCGGGCCACGGACGGTTGGTTCACGATTCGGATCAGGTGCACGTACCTATGGTAGTGCCTTTGGGAACTGGAGGTGTCTCTAGTACTGGTGGTAGGGCTGAACCCTCTGAGCTGGCTGCCGACGGGCAGGTGGTCGAGGCCCAGCTCAGAGGCGATCCGCCCCGCGGGTCCTCCGACGGGAGGTCAGCCCTCGCAGGGGAGTGCAGAGGAGGCCCTACCAACCAAGAACGACGAGTACGCGACAGCGGTGGAGCTGAACCTCCTGGTCTGGCTGCCGATGGGCAGGTGGTCGAGGCCCAGGCAGGAGGAGTTTCGCCCCGTGGGGCCTCCGACGGGAGGTCAGCTCCTGCAGGGGAGTGCAGAGGAGGCACCACTGCACATCGACTACGAGAGCGGTCAGATGGCACTGGGGAGCTTGATGCTGATGTTGCAGGGTCGCCGCAATTGCGACATGAGAGAGACTGGAGTTTCGCCACGGTGAATATCACTGCGGCGCAGAAGGAAGCGGTCAAGATGGCCCTTGTAGCGACAGAGATCACGGAGATGTTTCCCAACGCGGATGGCATTCTGTTTCAGGGGCACAAGATTCTCAAAGGAAATACAGGAGACGCACAGCTACGTCTACTGCATCAAGGTTGGAATTGTCACATACCGCCTGCTCACAAAGGCGAAGGACATGCCGCCAGCTCTGGGGTTGCGGTTGGAGTCAGACAAGATATTGCGTCGGCGGTGCCGCCCGATCTTGGGGGAGTATGCGCACCACAGTGGAGATGGGCTATGCAATGGGCTGATGGTATGCTGCCAGGTGGGTTTATTCTTGCGTCCAAATATTTGACATCAGGGCACAAGGTGCGTGACTATGAAGATGAGAACAAACGGATCATCATGCTGGTGATGGAGCAGCTACAGAGGCTTGGCAGGCCGTTCATCATAGGTGGAGACTGGAATATGACTCCTCAGGAGCTCTCTGACCTTAACATTCTTGCGCAGGTACCAGCGATGATAGTAGCTCCTACGCAATGGACATGTGCATGTGGAGAAGGACGTGTGCTTGACTACTTTGTGGTCAGCCAGCATTTCAAAGGGCTCATTATGGATGTGTCCAGGATTGAGGGGCTGTCGATAGCCACGCATTGGGGTGTCCGGCTCTCTCTTCGTGTGGGCCCAGGTGCTGCGCTAGTACAACAGCTCAAGGTTCCAAAGAAGTTGCCCAAGGTATGCCCGCTAGGCGCAGCACCCCCACCGCCATCATATCTGCAAGTTCAGCGAGAATGTGAATATGCGACAGATCGAGAAGACCTTCATTGGTGCTTCTCACAATGGCATGCTTTGGCTGACCAAGAACTTGTTCGGCGATTTCAACTAGAGGATCGACATGGACGAGCTTGCAGGGGTAGGGCACAGTTCACTGAGCCCGAATTTAAGATGGTGGCTGTGGTCCGCAAAGCGCCAGGTCACTCACCTCCAGGAGATCCAAGGTCCAGACAGTGGAGGCGTGCTTCAATGGTCATGGCTGATCTCATGCATGCACGCAAGCGGAGTTGGCCCTTAGACTGCAAATTCATTCAAGACAGATTCAACACCATGCAGAACCTCAAGAGCAAAAGGCTAGACATGGGCGAGGCTTGGGATATATGGTGTTACAGGTATGATAACGAATTCAGTTGGGAGGATGAGTGGTTGCGAGAAGCTAGCTGGACTGCGGCGAAGGAAGCTACTACTCTGGAGGTAAAGTTTGCCAATAGCCGCGTGAAGCAGTGGCGCAAGTTGATTGCGGATGTGATTGAGAACGGCGACAAGCAGGCCCACAGATGGTCTAAGCTACCCGCCATGTGGACACAGGCTGACATACACCCCACGCAAGGTGTGAGGTCTCATGCCCTGCGCTTGCAGTCAGACTTGGAAGAGTGGAAGCAGGCATGGAGAGATCAACAGGGAGAGCGAAGTTTTGGAGAGGGGTTACGATTACAGGCACATGAGGAGGACGTTAAGATGCTTGATCCTGCGAACATCAGGAAAGTGGCCAATACATTTAAGGCGAACACGGCGTCAGGTATTGACAACCTAGGCCCGAGGAATATCGCCTTGCTTTCAGACTGCGCGCTCACAGCCTTCGCAGAGCTCATGCACAAGGCCGAGACCATAGGGGAGTTGCCACCGCAGCTCACCTACAACATCATGCCCCGACTACCAAAACCTGAGGGCGGACATAGGCTCATTGGGCTGCTACCTGACCTTCTTCGCGTATACAACAAGTGCCACAAAGCCGACCAGCAAGAATGGCTCGCTAAGAATGTCAAGGACTACCACTATGCTGTTGCAGGGCGTAGTTCCGAGCAGGCGGTGTGGTCGCAATCACTTCTTGCTGAAGCTGGGCTAGCCCTCAAAAGGCACACAGCAACTGTCATGCTTGATCTCAAGAAAGCTTTTGCAAATATTCCCCATGCGACCTAATGGGACGTTGGCTGCCGACATGGTTTCAAGAGGTCAAGATTGGCGCTGCTACTCAAATCGTACGCTGGTGGGCGCATGATCAAGTTTGGCAACATGGTGTCAGGGGCAGTCAAGACAAATCACGGAGTCATTGCGGGATGTGGGCTTGCGACTACGATGATGATGCGTTTCACGCTAGGTGCTTACGAACAGGTATACAAGTTGTGGCCGTCACTCAGTCTAACGCAAGTGGTGGATGATGGGAGCTTGCAAGCTACGGGTACTCACGACCAAGTTCTCAAGATCATCATACCAGCTGCCCGTATGCTGTGTAAGGAGTTGGTGGAGCTTGGGCTTGAGCTCAGCCCGAGCAAAGGGCACGTAATAGCGACCAGCACGGAGTTAGAGAAGCAGATCGAGGCGGCGCTGAAGCAGCATAAATTTCGGAGGCACCGCAAAGTGCGCCAGCTCGGTCATGATCGGGCTCTACGACAAGGATCTGGAGGAGAAGTACAGCATGCTCGGGTGCTCGCCACATCAAAAAGAATTTCTCGTTACAGACGGTTGGCTATGGGTGGACGGCAGATGGGACGCCTTTTCAGAGGAGGAGGCTTGGCTTCAGTTACCTACACGGTCAAGGTAAAAGGCATGTCAGATACACAATTAAAACAAGTTAGGGGCATTGTTGGTCATGCCTTGTTTGGTCCAGCACGTGGCAGGTGCAGAACCATGGAGTTTCAACTTTCGCACTGCCCCCGAGCTGATCCTACCTTTGCGGCGGATGAGTATCCTTTGGTGTATTGGCTCAGAGCGATGCACGGACAGTGGGTAAAGCAACGAGCGATGGCCCTGGCCTTTATGCAGGCGCAGAACAACTGTCACACCTGGAGGAGTGTACGAGGGCCAGCAGGTGCAGTGGTGCTCACCCTCAAGCGGCTTGGATGGAAGGCAATGGCGTGGGACTGTTGGCATACCGAGCGAGGGATGAAGTTAGATCTACATGACATTGGCCCTGCGACGCTCAAGAAGATAGTCAATCAGAGTACACAAAGACGCCTGCTATGCGAGGTACCACTTTCCAGAGGTATGGAAGGGCTCACTGGCCCGCCTTTGCTTGAACCTGCCAAGCGTTTAATCACCCAGCTCAGGGCACAGCAGGATTACAAAGGTGCTGGGCTAGTACGTACTTGGTTGGCTGGAGGGTTCTTCTGTCAGGAGCGTTTGCACCAAGTTCGAGCAGTGCATAGCCCCTTGTGTGCAAAGTGTTGTGTGGAGATTGGTACGGATACTCATCGTATCTTTAGGTGTGACTGGCACTCTCTGGAGCGACTCAGTTGGACAGGTGAAGAACGTGCATTGCTACGCTGGGGACGTCACGAACATGGGCAGCGGCATCCTCACACAATGATGACGACAAAAGGATTGATGGAGGACCCCACTTTCAATTCGCCCATGCCGACCAGCGAGCACATTATTAACTGGCACAAGTGCACTGTTAGTGGGCTCATCAGTGGTGTTGTGTGCACTGATGGCAGCTGTATTTTTCCACACTGTGAAGTTCGAGCCCGAGCTGGATGGTCTTTTGTCATGATTGATGAGGCTGGTGAAACTGTTGCGGCGGCTTCGGGACCAGTACCGTATCCGTGGCAGACATCAGGAGCTGGTGAGATCTGGGCGGCGACAAAGGCTTTGCAGCACAAGTCGGCAGGGCGCATTACGATTGTCACTGACTACAAAGATCTCAAGCTTGGGTGGATGCTGGGGTTCCCATACGGGTGCCAAACTGGACATCAGTATATGGAGCTGTGGAAGAGGTTTTGGCGAATTGCACAAGACATCGGAGTTGAAGAGATAGAACTCGAGTGGATTCCCTCGCACATGTCGAGGAGTAAAGCCATTGATCAAGGAATCAATATGACGTACTGGTACGGGAACAGAAGCGCCGACTACTATGCGAGAATGGGGGCAGACGTGCACCCACGCGAGAAGCCCAGTGAGAAGGTCAGGAAGCTGCGGGAGGCCGCTGTCCCGTTCACCTTGAGATGTGTGCTGCGCATTTTGCGCCTGTGTCAGAAAGGAGGGTGGAGTGATGCGCAGGTGATTGAGAGCAGCAGAGTAGAGCGCAGTTCTTTTCTGGTCCTCTCTGAAGATGGAGGACACGTCATTCATAGGTTTAAGGGACGATGGGTGTGCGGTAGGTGCGGAGATAGTCGTGCTCGGCGGTGTGACCTGGCGGGGCCCCCGTGTGGTGGTGACCCGAAAGGGGTCAGAGAAGCGCACCCGTCCCACAAACTTTGGCGCACTGGCCCAATGATCTGGTGTTCGGAATGTGCTTCGAGGTGTGTCTCGAGGGCTTTTTTGATTTCAAAACCGTGTCTCGGTCGGCCGCCCTTGGGTTCTCCGAGGCATTTCAAGAGGAGGTACCTCATCCAAGGGAAAGGGCCCTCTGGAGAGAAGGTTGGTTGTGGTTTCACCCGGCCCGTTCCAATCTTCGCGAGTGTCGATCGCTGCGTTCGGCGTGTTTGAGTATCCTTGTGTGGATTGGTGCATCGTTCTCGGCACACCTCGTCGTCATCCAGAGTCTCCAGAGCCTCCTCCTCCTCCTCCTCCTCCTCATACTCTTCCTGCTCCTCCTCTTTCTCTTCCTCCCCCTCCCAGCTTCCTCCTCCTCCTTCTCATCCTCCTGCTCCTCCTCTTCTTCTCATCCCAGCTTCCTCCTCCTCCTCCTCCTCCTCCTCCTCTTCCTCCTCCTCCTCCTCCTCCTCCTCCTCCTCCTCCTCCTCCTCATTCTCGTCCTCCCACCCGAGCCAAGTTTCCCCAGAGGCCGCCCAAAGTCTGGCTCGGGCCGCCTTGCAAGCCGCATAGCTCCCCCTCGGTCACAGTGGCCGTAGGCGGCGGCGTCGGCCATAGTACATTGGGAGACGATGCCCCCCCCAGATGTTCCAACCTCCTCCCCTCCCAGCTCCTGCTCTCCTCTCCCCTCCTCTCCCTCCCCAGACCCCCTATCGAGTCATGAGAGAGAATTGAGACGGGAGGCGCGTTTTCTGCATTTGTTCGGCCCCTGGGGGTCCTCGCTGGGCCCTCGGGACCGTCAACGAATGACTCGGGCTGACGAACCGGTCCCGGGGAAGGGGTCGAGACCTCTGGGGGTCGACGTGAATTAAAAGATCATGACGTCTGGGGTCTGGGTCATCTTCTCTTCTCCTCTCCTGTCCCACCAGGTGCACAATGTCAATGCTGCTCTCCGCTCCTCCCTGACTCTGCGCGGGGGTACTGGGCCAGCCCCGCGTGCGTTTAATTCACAGGGGGCTCGAACAGGTGATGTGTCCGATGTGTGTTTTTTTACAGTCGGATCGACTTCGGTCTTTCAAACATAGTGTTCCCTCTGCCGCGTTGGCCTCTTTTTCTGATCGGCGCGTTGCTCCCGTCGCTCAGAATAGCGCTCCGCCCTGGCTCAGGCTACTTTCCTGGATCCGAGTCCTGTTTCATGGTTGTCGCTGCGCTCATCTACCCTTCGCATTCCCCTGGTCCTCCTGCTCCTCCTCTCCTTCCACTCCGACTCCTGCTGCTGCTGTTCGTTGTCGTCCTCTTCCTTCCTCATCCTCCGTTTCCTCCTGCTCATCCTTCTGCTCATCCGCCACTTCATCTAATGTACTCAGCTCCTTTTGTTCGATTGTGCCTAACACGATGGGGTCCTCTTTGGAGTTCCAGGTCCGCTATTACACGCGTTGGCAGATGGAGCAGCAACAACGCAATTGGAGGGGATGGGTGGGAGGGGTATGCCAGATATGGCGCAAGGACGCCCAGTTGGCCTCTCCCCCTCTCCTCCCTCCTCGTCTCTCCTCTGATTCCTGATTCCTGATTCCTGTCGGCATTTGTGCTCTCCGAACCCTCCCCCTCCTATTCCCCCTCCTCCCTCTAGCCACGTGCAGTGTGGCGCGCAGGACGCTCCAGGACACTCTTCCCCCCCTCCCCGCCCTTGTGCAGCGGGTGGTTTGGCAAGTCCCACGGCTAGCATCAGCTGTTGAAGCACAGGTATCCAGGACTTCCGATCTGATTCGGTCCCTTTCCTCTTCTCCTCCCCGCCACAGCAGGCAGGTCTCGGCGATCCCACATCACCAGATCCCTATATTAAGTCGGGCCCGTCCCTCTACAGGAGGAGCATTCAAAGGTAGTCAAAGAGTAATCTGGGGACGATTCTTCGACTACCTGGGAGCATCAGTTTTGATGATCTGGCAGTTTTCGTCAAACTTCCCCCCCTGTAGGAGGACACGCCCGAGATCCCCCCTGCAGGAGGACACGCCCGACCCAGCCCCCGGATCGAGGGGGCGACCCCTTTCCTGCACGCGCCGCAGGGCGCCTCGCCGCCCCGCGCGGCCGAGGCGGCCAGGGGGGAGCCGTCGTGGGACGGTCTGGACGCTGGCCCTCGTCTCGCTCTCGCTCCGCCTGCCCCCTGCTCATCTCCTTCAGTGGAGTGTCCCTCCTCCTCCTCCTCCTCCTCCTCCTCCCGGAGTCCCTTCGGGGATCATCCGTTAAACTTGGAACGATACAGAGAAGATTAGCATGGCCCCTGCGCAAGGATGACACGCACAAATCGAGAAGTGTATACAATTTTTATTTCCGCACGCTCGACTCCTCCTCCTCCTCCCAGCTTCCTCCTCCTCCTCCCAGCTTCCTCCCGAGGCGGGCATCCGATCTGCTCCTCTCTTGCCTCGGACGGGCGCTCGGCGCTCGGGCCCCCCGAGCCTCGATCAGCTGCCGTCGGGAGAGAGCTTCGCTTTGTTGCTTCAGCCCTCTTGGAGCACGGAGTGAACCATACGTTCACGGTAGGTTCGTGTCGTGTCGACCGGCGGCGACCCCGCCAGCGGCGTTCAACTTTGAACGCCGCGGGCGACCCAGAATCGTTCGATGTGGAACGATTTGGACGTTTCGAAAACGGCCGATCGTTCAAGGTTGAACGATCCCCGCGGTGTCAGAAACCAACGCCGAAGTCGGCACGACACGGACCTGCAGACAGGAGAGCGGTTGTTCCAAGCGCAGGGGCTGCGAGACGCGTCATGTCCATGGATTCGCTCGTCCGGGGTACCACGCCCGGATCGCGCGGGGCAGCCGAGGCGCAGTTCTTGGTTCCAGTCCTGCGCGTTTCATTCTGACGCTGGGCCAGTCGTCGGCTGGTTGCGGTGTTTTATTCCTCTTTCTATCTCTCTATCTCGCTGGTGGTCTGCCTGTCTGTCTGTCTGTCTGTCTGTCTGCCTGTCTGCCTGCCTGCCTGTCTGTCTGTCTGTCTGTCTGTCCGTTGATATGTTTGTGTGGCTGTTCTGTCTGTCTGTCTGCCTGCCTGCCTGCCTGCCTGTCTGTCTGTCTGCCTGTCTGTCTGTCTGTCTGTCTGTCTGTCTGTCTGTCTGTCTGTCTGTCTGTCTGTCTGTCTGTCTGTCTGTCTGTCTGTTTCTCTCTCTCTCTCTCGTTCACTTGTTTTTGCTCTTTATCGCTTTCTTTTCTTCTCTGTCTCATTATCTCTCACTCTATCTCTTTCACTCTCTGTCCTTCCCTCCTACATGTACTTAATGACGCGCATGCATAAACAAAGATGAGGGGTGTCTCGTTCTCCCCCTCTCGCCCTATCTTTCCCTCTCTCTTTTTATATGTATGTACATTCATAGCAAAGCACACAGCAGTTATGTGCGGCGTCCGCCGCCTCTTGCCCAAGAGGACGCGTGGTGGGGTGCAGCGCGGCATCTGGTCCTCCAGTTGTTCCAGGCGCTCCCGGCAAGAGCACTGGGGATGATGGCGGATGGGTGGTAGGAGGTATGTGTATCCAGGCTCGGATGCAGCAGATGGGGTCGGAGGATCGCGACGCATTGCTGATGCGTCGACAACTCGATACCTTTATCCTGACGGGCATACGCACCGGGGAGATATCGGCGATGCGGTCCGATCCTCCAGCCCCGTGCGTTCCGGCCCCATGAGGAGGCCGCAAATGTAGGAGGATGCGTTGGTTGGAGAGTTGGCATCAAGGAGGACGAAAAACAGTTGCTCGGCATCGCTCGGACGTGTGCATTTTTCTCGGCGAGGATCATCGATGGAACATCATGCGGGAACAAACACGCACGACACCGAAAACCGCACAGGGAATGGACGGCCGAGCGATGGCAAGGTTGGGAGGAAGACCAGCATCAGCCCCTGTCCATATTGGACAGGGCTCGCCGCCGGTGTCGCCGCGGACGGTGTCTATTCCATTCGGGACGAATGTCGCCTGCCCAATGCGGCCGCTGCCTGCGTTCGTCGTTGTTTGGTTTGAGCAGTGGCGACGCGTCTTGGATTGCATATGGGCCCACCACAGAATGTCATAAGGACCCTTCGTGGTTTGCAGGAGATGTTTTTCGAATACGCCTGGCTGGGATTGCTTTGTTTCCATGCATCGGATTTATGGTATCAGAACAGTATATTTGTTCTTAGAATTCGTCCAAAGAACATGCCGTGGTGGCCTACAGGAATGCCGGGACGGTCGGTCCCTGCTCAAGTGTTGTTGGGTATCCCCTTTTTTCGTCCGTTCCCATTCCGAGCGGGGCGAAAGGAGGAGGACGAGGAGGAGGAAGAGGCTTGGGTGAGTCGGTTGCGGCGGCGAAGGATCATGAGGATGGAGGGTCGCCTTGAGCGCACGTGTCCGCCGCGCCCGGTGGCGTTGCCGATGTCGCTTCTGGTGACGAGCGCACGCCGCAGCGGTGGAGAAGGAGGACGAGGAGCAGGATGAATCAGGAAGGGAAAAACACACAGACACAATTAATCGGCGATTCCTAGAAAATATGGGAAAATATGGGAAGTGGGGGGGAAGACAAAAAACCCAGAAAGTATGGGAAAAATACGGGGGATGTTTTTATTTGTGTGTATTTATTTGTGTGTGTGTGTGTGTGTGTGTGTGTGTGTGTGTGTGTGTGTGTGTCCCAGTTCCCCCTCAAGGAAGCGGAGCAGGAGGGATTGCCAGAGTCTGCGTGGCTGGGACGTCTGCCACGGACCCCGAGGTTCACAGCCAAGTCCGTCAAGGGACAGCGCTCGGCCCCCCACTTTGGAACATGCGCATGGTCGAAGGATTGCAATGCAGGGTTTTTTTACAATCCTTCGTTTTTTGCAATCCTTGTTTTTTTTGCAATCCTTCGTTTTTGTTGCAATCCTTTGTTTTTGTTGCAATCCTTTTGTTTTTTTTGCAATCCTTCGTTTTTTTACAATCCTTCGATGCTCGCGCGCACCAAGCAGCGCGGCCGAGGCAAGTCGTGCCTCGGGCGAAGGGTTGTAGCGCCGAGGGCCTGTCGTCAGAAAAGTGGGGGGCGCGGCGAGGGCGGAGGACCGGGAGGAGCGCACGGGCCAACTCCTCCCTCCCCCCCCCCCCCCCCCCCCCCCCCCGCGGGCGGGAGGGCAGGAAGGGGAGGAGGAGGAGGAGCGAGGAGGCGCGAGGAGGCGCGAGGAGTGGGCAGGAGGAGGATCAGGAGAGTGGGGGGAGGGAGGAGGGAGAGGGGAGCACGCGGGGCTGGCCCGGTACCCCCGCATGGAGTCAGGGAGGAGCGGAGAGCAGCATGGGCACTGTGCACTCGGCGGACGAGGGAAGGAGGAGAGGACCCAGACACCCGACATCATGTTTCTTGGTTGTAAATGAATAATGAACGTCGACGCTCAGGGGTCCCGACCCATTCCCCGGGACCAGTGTTGCATCCTGAGTCGTTGTTTGACGGTCCTGATGGCCTGGCGAGGGCTCCCAGGGGCCGAAAATAGAGAAAAGAACAACGCTCGTCGCGCTTTTCTCACGATTCGAGGGGGGTCTGGGGAGGGAGAGGAGGGGAGAGGAGAGTAGGAGAGTAGGAGCTGTGAGGGGAGGAGGAGGAGGAGGAGGAGGAGGAGGAGGAGGAGGAGGAGGAGCAGGGGGATGCGTCCCCTTCTCGGTGCTTCCTCACATTATGGTCATCGTTGTATTTCGATCTGGTCTCCCTCACTCCCACGGGCACTGCGTGGCCAGCGACTACTGTCTGCCTTGGGGTTTGCTTCCTTATTGCCTGATCTATAGTGCCTTGCCCATCCAATCTTCTGCGCTGGCCACGCCTCATCAGTTGCCACCAGACCCAAGTCAGATCGCAGTACTTGCCAAACGCAACAAGCTTAGCACTTGATGTTTGCCGAACGTTCAAAAACTTGGCATCGCTCGGACGTGTGCAATTTTTCTCGGCGAGGACCATCGAGGAGCATCCTGGATCCTCGGGCAACAAGAAGCACGCGCGAAACCGAAACATGCACAGGGAATGGACGTCCGAGCGATGGCAAGTGCCGCCGCTGGCAGGCGTTCGCGGATCTGCGCATCGGGGAGGCCTTCGACATGCTGAAGGAGTTCCCGGACTCCGCGCCCGCCCTGACGGACCTGCGGAGGTCCGGGGAGCGTCGCGGTCGGACGGGGCCAGGCCGAGGATACCAATTTGTTCCAGGGCGTTTCGGAGCGCTCTCGGAGCGTTCCGGAACGCTCTGAGAAGGCCGCGGCGCCCGAGGCATCCTGTAGAGCCGTTGGATCTCGGAGCGTCTCGATGTTCCTCGCCCGATTACCTTCCCGTCCTGGCCTCGTCTTGCCGGGGAGCGTCGAGGGGGATCGCCGACAGGCTGGTCGCAGGGTCGCTCCTGCCAGTCCGGGGGCGAGGCGGGAGGGGGTCGAGGGTCGAGGAGGAGTCGGAGGGTTCTGGGGGGCTTCCTTGGGTCTCCGAGGGGCATAGGAGGGTTCTCGGAGGTCCTCGGGGTCCGCTTCGTGGAGACGGGAGCGACCCCCTGCGTGGTGACCCGCTCTGACGTTGCCCGGGAGGTGCCTCGCGCGCACGGGGCGCGCCACGCTGCTCGTGAGGTCTCTGCGGGAGCAGCTGACACGGCGCCTGCTGATTGCAGTCGCCTCGGCCGCTTTTGTTGGCCAGAGCGGATCGTCCGAGATCGCCTCGTCCATTCGTGCAGCTCGGTTTTCGCCCGCAGATCGGCGTGCGCCGATCAAGGCAAAAACTTCGCATAGGGATCGAGTGGCTCGCAGCTTTTCCTCGGCGGGGCCCTTTGGGAACATGGCTCCGCCCGCGGAAGCTCTCGCGGAAGGTCGGCGGGGGACCACGGAAGTAAATACGACACGTCAACATGTTGGGAGTCGGTTGTGTGGTTTCCCTCCTCCCTCCACCCTACCACCTCCTCCTCCTGCTCCTCGTCCTCCTCCTCCTCCTCCTCCTCCTCCTCCTCCTCCTCCTCCTCCTCCTCCTCCTCCTCCCCCCCTCAACAATTAGACAATGTGAATACTACTCTCCTCCCCTGGTGGCGTCTGGGAAATATTCGGCCCCCTCCGCGCATGGTTTTTAACGCACAGGAGTCCTGGGAGTTGGGTTTTCGCTTGGGCTTTTGTTTCAAAATGTTGCTCTCGCTGAAGCAGTGGCTCAATTTTTGGGCTACCGCTCATTCCGAATCGTGCTCCCGCTGCAGCGCGGGCCTCATTTCCGCGCTTCCGCTCGTCCCGAATCGTGCTCCCACTGCAGCGCTGGCGTCATCATTTCCAGCACCATGCCACGGCCTGATTTTCGGTATTTCCAAATAGGCCCCAAAATCTAGAACATGGCCTCCCGAAGAAATCATCGGAAGTGAAAAACATTCGGTGTCGATTCGTTGATCTTCTGGGCCCTAGAAGCCCCTGGGGCGTCGCCACGCCATGCTGTGTCAGGCTGCGCGTCCTCATGTCCGCGTTTCCGCGTCTGTTCTTTTGTTGTAAAAATTTTGTTCTCGCTGAAGCGCTGGCTTCATTTTCGGGCTACCACTCGTTCCGACTCGTGCTCCCGCTTCAGCGCTGGCCTCATTTCCGCGCTTCCGCTCGTCCCAAGTCGTGCTCCCACTGCGGCGCTGGCGTCATCATTTCCAGCGCCATGCCACGGCATGGTTTTTGGCCCTTCCAAATCGGCCTACAAACTTTAGAAAAATGCTTCACCAAGAAAACATAGGAAGTGATTACACATTCGGTGTCGATTCGTTGATCTGTTGGGCCGCAGGAGCCCCCCTCCACTTTGGGGCGTCGCCACGTCATGCTAGGTCATGCTGCGCGTTGTTCTTCAACACCATGCTACGCCATGTGATGCTAAGCCATGTTGCGACGTCCGATTGTGCGAATAGAGAGGAGATCTACGACATGGTAAGGGATGGGAGGGAGGGGTAGGACGTCAGATATGACGCGAGCGCACCTAGCTTGCCTTCCCTTTCCTCTCCCCTCTCCTCCCTCCCCTCCCCTCGAACGTGAGTGGCTCAGGCTTCGGCTGATCGAGACGCGTCCCTCGGCAGCGGTGTTGCCCAGAGCGGGCCTGATGCATACCGCTTCGCGTGGGGAATGCGGCCGGGTGGGCTCTCCTCCTCCACCTCCTCCTCCTCTTCCTCCTTCTTGTTTGCCGCTGCGCGGCCATAGCGCTCCTCCTCCCCCTCCTCCTCCTCTTCTTTCTCCTCCTCATCCTCATCCACTTCCTCTTTCTCATCTCCTCCGCTTGCCCTTCCCTGCGCATGCTTCTGGTTCGCCTCCTCTTCGTCCCCTCCTCCTCGTACCCCAGGGCAGACTGGGGCAGTTTTGATGACTCCCTGAGGCGCTCTTGAGCCATCTTGGGCCCCCTGGAGAGAATGTTGAGCCTTCGCTAGCTCTTTGGATGTCCTTGGGGGCCACCCTGAGCCGAAGCCGAAGCGCCGCGGGGTCCGTAGTCACTGACTTGCTCCATCCGTCTGTTTCTCAGGGGAGTCTCTTTTGGCCCTCCCTGGTTGTGTAATGCTGCGTTGAGCGTCCCTTTGGCGCCTTCTTGGGGCATCTTTGGGTGAACCGCCATCCCGGGGCCGTGTCGGGCCGTCTCATGGGCGGCCGCCGTGCCCCCCTGGGGCTTGGGGCTTGCCGGGGCCGTCGGGGGCCATAATGGATGCTTCTTTTTTTCACAAAGTCGGGATGTTCCAGGGGCTCTCTTGGGCTGTCTCTGGGCCTTACGCAATTCTGGAGCGTCCTTGGGACCTCCTCGGTCACTTGGGAGACACATCAGATCACAAGCCAAACAGTGTCGGAAAGCCAAACCCACATATCGAGCAAGTCACCTTGCAAGACCGAAGACACAAACACCATACAAAACCAAGTCAACGACATATACCACACGAGGCACTGAAGTGGTTCGTTCTACGGAGAAGGAATAGCGTAAAGCCACATATACGCAACATCCATCAGCTGGTCAAAGATTATTGCTGTATGGGGACTGTCTTGTGGCCTCTTGGCATCATGTTCGATACCTCTCGAGCCCCTCTTGAGGCCTCTAAGGGGATGTATGGCTGCTTGTTGGTGCCCGTTGCGGCCGCTTGCGTCGTCTGGGAAGACTCCTCGGCTCCCTCGGATGAGGAGGAGCAGCGGCGTCAGGAGGAGGAACAGGAGGAGGAGGTGAAGCAGGAGGAGCAGGAGGAGTACCAGCAGGAGGGCGCGCAGAAGCAGGAAGGTCATGGGGGCGAGGCGGATCAGGAGGAACACGTGGAGGTTGAACTAGACGAGGTTGACGACGAGATGAAGGAGGAGGACGAGGAGGAAGAGGAGAAGCAGACATATGATTATCCAGCGACGAAGTAGGGCGCGGGCAGAGATCTGAAGGGGTGGTGCGGGGGAGAGGGGGAGAGAGGGACAGAGAGAGAGAGAGAGAACAAAACAACAAGAGAGAGAGAGAGAGACATATAGACAGACAGATACAGAGACAGAGACAGAGTGAGGGAAGGAGGGAGGGAGTCAGATGTAGAGAGGGAGAGAATGAACAAGGGAAATCAACTGATACCAACCTACACTGGCAGAGACAGATACGGCTGCACGTATGTAGACATACATACATGTGTATATATATGTGTGTGTGTGTGCAAATCTGTGTGTGTTTACAAACACACGTATACGTGAACACGCGTGTACAATTATAACAGTCATGTTTTTACACGCGATTGTACATATAGGTGTGTACACATGCATGGGTATTCATATATATATATAGAGAGAGAGGGAGATACATACATAAAAAAGAACGAGAGACACAGAGAGAGAGAGAGAGAGAGAGACCGAACACTCCTAAGGCAAAACACCGCCCTTCCCTGTCATTTTCTGGCTCCCGTGTGGCCAAACGTTGCGGCAAGAGCTCGGTCAAGCTATCGGACGACGTGTTCCTCCCAGCTGGGGTGGTAACCGTTCGGGGAACACGTGGGGGAGGAGGAAGAAGAGGAGAACAAAGAGGATGATGGAGAAAGAGCAGGCCTGCTCGGGAGCCTCCTCACCAGTCTTCGAGCCTCCTAGGAGTTTCCTGCGGGCCCCTTGAAGGGGTGTTCAGGCGGGCGTTTCGTGGCCGTCTCGGAGGCCATCTTAGGCGTCTTGGACGCCTCCTTGGCCGTCTTGGGGCCATCCTGGGGCCGTCTCGTGAGCCTCCTGAACCGTCAGGTGGCCATCTCTGAGGCCTTTTGGGCGCTCTTGTGGTCGGAATCCTTTGGAGGGGGCTGCGCATTCGTAAAGAGCGTTTTTCGTGGCAGCCCTCGCCTCTGCCGCTGAGATTTTGGATTCTCTCCATTGTTTGATGCAGGCGTGGTGTGACCACGGCCGATTGGCAGGCGGCCTGGAGGAACTTCGTCATGGAAGTGGACTCGGCGACCCAACCCGCAGACGCGGTCGCAAATGATTCGACAATGGCGAACGTCCTCGCCCTTCAGGTGGCGTGCCCGCCGAACCAGGAGCTTCTCGCTTTGAGGAGCGCGGCCGCCATGAAGTGCGCAGCCAAGCTGAAGTGGAAGCCCATATTACTGTCCAGCTTCGGGGTTGGGGCGGTCCGACCGCTTCCAGGTGTTCCTACAGGAAAGAGCGGACTCGCCGGACAGCGCAGTCAAACCGTTGGCTCGTAGCCTTCTCCACTTGTATTCACTTCTCGAGAAGCGATACATGGTCGCACACGATGTCAAGAAGGACTGACCAGCGAAGGCCGCTGAGCAGCGGGCGGAGTAGATGAACCTTTTTTACTTCGTCACCAAGTCCTACGACGAAAGGACCACCAAGGCGTCCGCCAACTTGCCAATGGGCACGGAGGTCTTGGTCAAGGACTTCGAGGTCGACGTCATGTTCGGCGATGTAGAACTCGTGGCGCGCAGCGCCCCTCAGAAACGCCCCGCGGCGGCGGGCGGGAGCTGGGGGTCAGGCGGCCTTTCGGCCGAGACCGCTCGGGCGTCGGCGCCAGGGCATGCGCCGCTCCAGATGCAGCCAGCCCAGGCTTCTCCATGCGGGGGGGGGTCCGACCAGACGAACAACAGGCAGCTGGTCACTAAGCTCACCGCGGAGTTGGAGAAGCTGGCCACGCGCGCTTCCCCTGCGCGCATCCAGACTGGGCTCGACGAGAAGTTCAAGGTCGACGACGCGCATCGCCAGGCGATGATGGAGGCGCTGCCCGTGGTCTGCCAGAACTGCCTCCCCTGCAAAGGGGTAGTCAAGCACTCTCTGAAGGAATGCCGCTAGGCAGGCAAGATACGCGTCATCCCACGCAAGAAGTGCACGAAGGCAGAGCGCCAAGGTTGCATCTTGCACAGGGCATCCAGCTGCCCGCGCTAGGCCGCTTGCCCCGCGCGTGGCCGAACCGCCGAGATACATGTACCTCGCGCAAATATGCTCGAAGCCGCGGAGTGCGCATCCGTTTTCGCCATGCTTTCCCACGCGCGTTGTCTGCCACTCGAAACCCCGCCCACGTCGCGCGCAGTGCCTTCCGAGCGCCGCGCCACCAAAACATCCACAAGGTGCCTCTGCGGGTCGAGGCTCTCTGCAGTTCCAGAGCGACGGGGGGGGGGGGGCGCCCTGCGCGACCTCCGCCCGCGTCGGACATTCATGCGTACTGCCCAGGCG